ACAACACTCCTCTTGTACCTGTCTGGGCAGTCGCTGTTGGCATTTAGGCACATTCCTATGTTCGTTTCCTTAGTGTAGACTGCAGTGTGGAAACCTCCGTTCTTTTCCATGACTGTTACATCTAGAAAGGGCAGCTTCCCATCCTTTTCCATCTCGTAAGTGAAACGCAGCACGGAACTCTGCTCAAATGCCTCCTTCAGCTTCTGCAGATGTCTGGCATCAGGTACCTGTGTAAAAATGTCGTCAACATACCTGCAGTATATGGCCGGTTTCAAGTTCATGTCGACTAAGACTTTTTGCTCGATGGTACCCATGTAGAAGTTTGCAAACAGGACACCTAGGGGAGAACCCATGGCGACCCCATCTACTTGCTTATACATGTGCCCATCCGGGCTCAAGAAGGGTGCCTCTTTAGTACAAGCTTGGAGTAGTTTCCTTAGAATATTTTCGGGTATGTCAAGAGGAGTACAGGCTGGATCACGCTACACTCTGTCGGCTATCATCCCGATTGTCTCGTCCACAGGTACGTTGGTAAACAGTGATTCTACGTCCAACGAGGCTCTTATCCCTGTGGCCCGTGTGCCCCGCAGTAAGTCAACAAATTCCTTTGGAGACTTCAGGCTGAAGGCGCAAGGAACATAAGGAGTCAGCAGGCCGTCGAGTCGCTTCGCCAGTCTGTACGTGGGTGTGGGTATCTGGCTAATGATTGGCCGAAGTGGGTTTCCAGGCTTGTGGTTTCCAGACACACAAGCCTGGAAACCCACTCGCCATCTTCCCCATCGCCCACACATGGATGATGGCGAGTTTTGGGGGAAATATATATATATATATATATATATTTATATATACATACATATATATATATATATATATATATATATACATATATATATATATACATATATATATATATATATATATATATATATATATATATTTATATATATATATATATATATATATATATATATATATATATATATATATATATATATATATATATATATATATATGAAACAGGAAATTTCCTTAAGTACTTTCGTATATTAAATACATCTTCAGAAGGACCTTCTGAAGATGTATTTAATATACGAAAGTACTTAAGGAAATTTCCTGTTTCATTTTCCTTCGTGGTCTGACATTGTCACATTCTTAATCACGTGTTTATTTTCGTGATATACACACATATATATATATATATATATATATATATATATATATATATATATATATATATATATACATATATGTATATATATATATACATATATGTATATATATATACACATATATGTATATATATATATATAAATAAATATATATTTTATATATATATATATATATATATATATATATATATATATATATATATATATATATATATATATATATATATATATATATATATATATATATATATATATATATATATATATATATATATATATATATATATATATATATATATATATATATATATATATATATATATATATATATATATATATATATATATATATATATATATATATATATATATATATATATATATATATATATATATATATATATATATATATATATATATATATATATATATATATATATATATATATATATATATATATATATATATATATATATATATATATATATATATATATATATATATATATATATATATATATATATATATATATATATATATTTTATATATATATATATATATATTTTATATATATATATATATATATATATATATATATATATATATATATATATATATATATATATATATATATATATATATATATATATAGGGGTACCACCTCTGGTGCAAGTGTAGGGACCCATAGCCTCGGAGAAGAAAATAAAGAGTACTCAGAGAAGACCTTGTGGATCCTCACTGAACACTTTGACATTTTCTTCTCCTACCACCCCTATTCTTTTGGTAAGTGTGTATATTTATCTAACTTTATTTGAAAATGTCATTACACAAAAAAGTTACAATATTGATTACATGCAGTGTACAAGGCTGCTTGTCACAAGTATATTATATATATATATATATATATATATATATATATATATATATATATATATATATATATATATATTTATATATATATATATATATATATATATATATATATATATATATATATATATATATATATATTATATATATATATATATATATATATATATATATATATATATATATATATATATATATATATATATATGTCGTACATAGTAGCCAGAATGCACTTCTCAGCCTACTATGCAAGGCCCGATTTGCCTAATAAGCCAAGTTTTCATGAATTAATTGTTTTTCGACTACCTAACCTACCTAACCTAACCTAACCTAACTTTTTCGGCTACCTAACCAAACCTAACCTATAAAGATAGGTTAGGTTAGGTTAGGTAGGGTTGGTTAGGTTCGGTCATATATCTACATTAATTTTAACTCCAATAAAAATATATTGACCTCATACATAATGAAATGGGTAGCTTTATCATTTCATAAGAACAAAATTAGAAAAAATATATTAATTCAGGAAAACTTGGCTTATTAGGCAAATCGGGCCTTGCATAGTAGGCCAAAAAGTGAGTTCTGGCTACTAGGTACGACATATATATATATATATATATATATATATATATATATATATATATATATATATATATATATATATATACACAGAAATCAGTATAGCGTGATGCATCAAATGAACAAATCCACAAGGGCCGTGACGATAATCGAGCCTACGTCCGAGATCATCCCTGACCCTGCCTTAATCGACTGAGCTAAGACATGATCGTAGCTCTGTCGATTAAGGCAGCGTCTGGGATGCTCTCGGACGTAGGTTCGAATTCTCGTCACGGCCCTTGTGGATTTGTTCAAATGTATGAAAGAGTTATAAATCAAAGAGGCCCCCAGTAATAAGGGAGGTCCACTCTAGCCTGGTGTATGTAATCCGGAGGATGGTGGATTTGTTAACAGCTTGATAACTATGGTCAATATAGACGCTCATGTTACAACAACCCTAATTATTCTGAATAAATACTTTGAGCACGATCATGCCGAGTCCTTAAAAATTCTTGTCCTCCATAACTTTTAGTGTATTAATAAGATTTTTAACTTATTAAGAAAAACAGCCAGATAATTTTAGAATCTTGGATATTATATGTAATTATAAGCAGAACACAATTCTCAAATATTTATATAGCGAAAACTGTCACTTAACATAAGACAACATATAAGTCAAATCAAATTGGTGGTAGTTTAGGGGTTATGATACTTAAACAACTGCCTAGTGTGTTGTTTTTGTTTTAGATTCAGCTACTCAGAAAACAAAAAATTCTAAGTAGCACGGGCTATGGTGAGGCCATAAGTGGAGGTTCTTTGGAGCCATTATCTGTATCAATAGCTGATACTAGAGATCAAGGGATGGATGGGGGGCCTTCATGGTGGTTTTCAAGCTTGGAGGGCTGACTGCAACAGTTATGGAGCTGGTGGGTTAGTGTAGACCTCTAGGTCTTCCATTTTTTCTTTGGCTGATACATTGGCTGAGCCGTGCTGTTGTTGGAGTTTGGTGAGGTGGCCTCCAAGAAAAGATCTTGAACCGAATAGGTGTCACTGTGCTGTGGCGGTGGAGCTCCTACTAAGATTTCCTCGTCTGAGGAGTCTGTAACATCCGTGGTTGGTGATTTTGTCTTTCGTCTCGCAGCCTGAGGTAGGCTCAAGTGTCGTGGATTAGTGGTAGCAGCTATTTCAGGAGCGTTGGTGGTGCTGTTAGTATTTCTTCACAGCACGTCTGCTAGCGTTGCTGCTGAGATGGTGATGGTAGAAGTGTTGGGAGCTAGAGAAGCAAATACCTCAGTTTGTTCTGCCCGGGTCTTGGGTGGTTCTGGAGTCTGTGTAGAGATTGACCACGTGGTCGTCATGGTGGTAGTCTCTGGAGTGGTAATGGAGGCAGTACGACTCTAGTCCAGGGCGATGATGGGGTGCAGGCCATTGGCTACGTACACTGCGTTCAGTTCCATGACGAATCGTTGATTGTCTGATCCGGTAAGCCTCTCTGCTAGTCGAATGAGACCAGGGATAATGCCTGCACGTGATACAAGGGACTGTGAGGGTGCTGGTTAGACCTTAGATCCCCAGTGTGGAGGCCGGGTGATCTGTTGGGAGGAGCCATTGTTTGGTTGGGGTGGTACGGTCGTAGTCTGCATCTGGCTTATAGAAGGGAGACTCGGGAAATGGTCAGGTCCAAGGTCTAAGGTCGTGGCGACTTGCCTCTGGGTGGTCGGCGGCGTGGTGTTCATCTCTTTAATCTTCTTCAGTTCCTCCTTCCTTTATGTGCAGCGGTAGGAGTTGGCGGCGTACTGTTCTCCACAGTTCGCTTATTTCTTGGTGGTGGCGGTACAGTCCTTGTAGTTGTGAATACCGGATCATGAGCTGCACTTAGCCGTTTGTTCTGGGTACTTGTTGAAGAAGTGTTTATAGGTGAAGCACTTGTAGCACTGTCTCACGTTGTAGACCTTCTCCATGGCGATCTGGTTTGGGGAGGAGGTGAGTCCAAAGCACTTGAGCCCGTGTCTCACTGCTTCGTGGGCCTGTTCTGCTGTTTCGAAAGTCATCTTCATCGTGGGTCGAGTGGCGCCGTTGGTCTTGATGTAGGGTTTTCTTCGTTCACTTGCCGCACTATGGTGTCGGGTACCTCACCTGCTAACCAGCGGTTCAGCCTGTTCACAAATATCGTTTTCCCGGGAGTGATTTGTCTGGGAGGAATCGGTAAGAGGTTCGCCTCCAGTAGTGGGACCCGGCGTTCCGGATCTTCTGTATGTCCGCTTTTGTTGCCACAGTTACCGTGGCCTCACACCACGCATATGGACGTCTACTGGTCCCACTGATGTTGCCTTGTCAATGGCTGCTGCAATTTCTCGCTCAGAGCGCTTGTAGACTCCGAGGAGTCGCACTTTCACTTTGTATGTCAGTGTGGATGAGGCGTGGGTCTGCTGCTGGATGGTGTGGGTGAGGCGTGGGTCTGCTGCTGGATGGTGTGGGTGAGGCGTGGGTCTGCTGCTGGATGGTGTGGGTGAGGCGTGGATCTGCTGCTGGATGGTGTGGGTGAGGCGTGGGTCTGCTGCTGGATGGTGTGGGTGAGGCGTGGGTCTGCTGCTGGATGGTGTGGGTGAGGCGTGGGTCTGCTGCTGGATGGTGTGGGTGAGGCGTGGGTCTGCTGCTGGATGGTGTGGGTGAGGCGTGGATCTGCTGCTGGATGGTGTGGGTGAGGCGTGGGTCTGCTGCTGGATGGTGTGGGTGAGGCGTGGGTCTGCTGCTGGATGGTGTGGGTGAGGCGTGGGTCTGCTGCTGGATGGTGTGGGTGAGGCGTGGGTCTGCTGCTGGATGGTGTGGGTGAGGCGTGGGTCTGCTGCTGGATGGTGTGGGTGAGGCGTGGGTCTGCTGCTGGATGGTGTGGGTGAGGCCTGGGTCTGCTGCTGGATGGTGTGGGTGAGGCGTGGATCTGCTGCTGGATGGTGTGGGTGAGGCGTGGGTCTGCTGCTGGATGGTGTGGGTGAGGCGTGGGTCTGCTGCTGGATGGTGTGGGTGAGGCGTGGGTCTGCTGCTGGATGGTGTGGGTGAGGCGTGGGTCTGCTGCTGGATGGTGTGGGTGAGGCGTGGGTCTGCTGCTGGATGGTGTGGGCTACTGCTCGATGCTCTCCATTTTCCAGACCTTAACGTAGTCGACCTTAAGAGCTGCCTCCTCGCTGATGTGCGGCTCACCGTGCTTCCAGCTGGGCAGCCACGACTCACGCTGAGGAGGGAGAGTAAGGTGTCACAGTTAACAGTACCAAGCAGGTGGATACTGATGGTAGTGTTGCTACTGTGTAGGGTGAGTGTGTCACAGTTAACAGTACCAAGCAGGTGGATAATGATGGCAGTGTTGCTACTGTGTAGGGTGAGTGTGTCACAGTTAACAGTACCAAGCAGGTGGATAATGTAAGAGTTTCAGTGATGCTACTGTGTAGGGTGAGTGTAGGGTGTCACAGTTAACAGTACCAAGGAGGTGAATAATGTGAGTTGGCAGTATTGCTACTGTGTAGGGTGAGTGTGTCACAGTTTGGCAGTGTTGCTACTGTGTAGGGTGAGTGTGTCACAGTTAACAGTACCAAGCAGGTGGATAACATGAGAGTTGGCAGTGTTGCTACTGTGAGGGGTGAGTGTAAGGTGTTGACCAGACCACACACTAGAAGTTGAAGGGACGACGACGTTTCGGTCCGCCCTGGACCATTCTCATTCTCGTCCAGGACCATTCGTGAGTGTAAGGTGTCACAGTTGCTACTGTGTAGGATGAGTGTAAGGTATCACTGTTACTACTGTGCAGGATGAGTGTAAGGTATCACTGTTACTACTGTGCAGGATGAGTGTAAGGTATCACTGTTACTACTGTGCAGGATGAGTGTAAGGTATCACTGTTACTACTGTGTAGGATGAGTGTAAGGTATCACTGTTACTACTGTGCAGGATGAGTGTAAGGTATCACTGTTACTACTGTGCAGGATGAGTGTAAGGTATCACTGTTACTACTGTGCAGGATGAGTGTAAGGTATCACTGTTACTACTGTGCAGGATGAGTGTAAGGTATCACTGTTACTACTGTGCAGGATGAGTGTAAGGTATCACTGTTACTACTGTGCAGGATGAGTGTAAGGTATCACTGTTACTACTGTGCAGGATGAGTGTAAGGTATCACTGTTACTACTGTGCAGGATGAGTGTAAGGTGTCACTGTTACTACTGTGCAGGATGAGTGTAAGGTATCACTGTTACTACTGTGCAGGATGAGTGTAAGGTATCACTGTTACTACTGTGTAACATGAGTGTAAGGTATCACTGTTACTACTGTGTAGGATGAGTATAAGGTGTCACAGTTGATGCTGTGTAGGATGAGTGTAAGGTGTCACAGTTGCTACTGTGTAGGAGTACACGGTGAGAGGCGACCAACAGATGGCATTGTTTAAACAAAAAAACATGTTTTGTCCTGTCACAGGTTAGGCATATATATAGTACATATATAATAAGACGCACCTATTCGAATGCATTGTACGTTGTATCAAAAATTCAAAGCAATCGGTAAAGAGGTTTCAAAGATTTTCCTCAAATGAATAACACCGTTTTTCAGAAAATGCATGTTTTTTTTTTTTTTTTTTTTTTTTTACCGTTATAGACGTGACTCTATATAGTATGCATATAAAAACCTGCTCGGATGCGAATGGAACGTTGTGTGAAAAATTCAAAGCAATCGGTGAAGAACTTTCGGTGATTAGCGGTTATTCACAAACGAACATTTCCATTATTATTTATATTGATTAATATGAACAGTTTAGTTCATTACACATGGGTAATGTATTGACACGTTAATTGATAATCAAAAACAGAAGTAAATTATAGTGAAGACTTACACCGTTCCAGAAGTCTAGGGCAGCGTGAGGGGAGCCGTTGCTCCAGGGCTTCTCTGGGTTCTTGGCCACGCCATCGTGGAAGTAGCCATCTGTGCCGCCCACAGCCAAGTTTACGACGATGTAGAACTGAAGACACGTTCCCATAATTAGAACATAAACTGTATGCCTTAAATTTTTTTATTTAAAAATGAAGAAGTGTGTTGAAGAAGCTTATCATAGATGTCACCTACACAACAGAGGAAATAACATTTGCGACAGAAAACATTACCATATATTACTCTAAACAGACACACAGTTTTTAGTAAGGTATCTCTAGTCTTAAATGACATTTTACAATTAACACCAGGACTTTGATAGATGATAATTCTAGATAGGCTCTGATAATTCTAGATAGAACGATTAAAATATTTTGAACATAAAATAAAAACCTGTGAAACTGCAATATTAAATCACAGGGAGTTAATTCATTGAGAAATAAACTGATGCAAGAAAACGAACATAATTAAAAATTTTAATTAATTGGTAAGCAGATAATTCTAGAGAAAATTAACAACTATAATATAAGTAATTATCTTTCCAAAGAAAACGGGAAATATTTAGCAATATTATGCATCATTTATCAAATAACAAGAGACCAGGTAATAACAAGGAATTAACTTAGCATCAAATGGGATATTGTAATGATTATCAACGAATGTGCTTCCATATTCAGCTATAAAATAATTCTATAATTGTCAAAGAAATTGAGGGATGTAAGTGAAATTTAACGGGAAATTGAAGTATTTTAAGAAGTATTTTTTTTTTAATTTTGGCCTCTAAATTTTTCTTTCATAACAATCACTCAATGACAAACATATGTAATTTCCCAGATGAACATGGAGTATATATTATATAACAATAAATATGTAATATACGCATGTAGGCTGCCTTCTTATCAATATTGTGAAACCCGCCACACAGCAATCATCAGCTTGCCACCACAGCAACAGGCACAAAGCTTTAACATGCACAAAAATAAAAGAGATGAAAATAATTATAATTCGCTCTGTTGGGGGAACAGGCAGCCAAAGGATGTGATATACACAATGTATATATCTTAACAATGATCGAGACGATCATTGGTGCAGTGGTCACGGTACTGTGTACGTTTAGGGGTGATCCTGGACGGCATGGGTTCGAATCCTGGCTGGGTCAAAGAGTCCTTTGTGATATATATATATATATATATATATATATATATATATATATATATATATATATATATATATATATATATATATATATATATATATTTATATATATAGTATATTTTGGTAGCAGTCTTTCCTGTAGACATATATTATTAAATATGACCGAAAAGTAAGATTAATAATTCTAACACGAATTTTCTCAATCTTTCGTACATTTCGTTTCACTGTTAGAGGTAAATAAAAAATCAATTCTCCAAAATTCATTTTTATTTCTAGTCTGACGCGACACGAGCGCGTTTCGCAAAACTTATTACATTTTCAAAGACTTTAGTTCACAAATACACAACTGAATAGAACTTACGCATCTCCGATTTTATATCTACATTTGAGTGAGGTGGAAGGGGTGATGTGGCATTAACACAAGACAGAACAAGATGTGGTATTAATAGGGTATTAATTTCATCAACACAAGACAGAACAAGAGTATTAATAGGGTATTAATTTCATCAACACAAGACAGAACTCGAAACAATGGATATTGAATAGAAGTGTTTGTAGAAAGCCTATTGGTCCATATTTCTTGATGCTTCTATATTGGAGCGGAGTCTTGAGGTGGGTAGAATATAGTTGTGCAATAATTGGCTGTTGATTGCTGGTGTTGACTTCTTGATGTGTAGTGCCTCGCAAACGTCAAGCCGCCTGCTATCGCTGTATCTATCGATGATTTCTGTGTTGTTTGCTAGGATTTCTCTGGCGATGGTTTGGTTGTGGGAAGAGATTATATGTTCCTTAATGGAACATATAATATATATATATATATATATATATATATATATATATATATATATATATATATATATATATATATATATATATTAGTATATTTTGGTAGCAGTCTTTCCTGTAGACATATATTATTAAATATGACCGAAAAAGTAAGATTAATAATTCTAACACGAATTTTCTCAATCTTTCGTACATTACGCTTCACTGTTGGAGGTAAATAAAAAATCACTTCTCCAAAATTCATTTTTATTTCTAGTCTGACGCGACACGGGCGCGTTTCGTAAAACTTATTACATTTTCAAAGACTTCACAAATACACAACTGATTAGAACTTGCGTTTCCCTGATTTTATATCTACATTTGAGTGAGGTGGGAAGGGTGATGTGGCATTAACACAAGACAGAACACTAGGGGATATTAATAGGGTATTAAAAGTATCAACACAAGACAGAACAGAAACAATGGGTATTGAATAGAAGTGTTTGTAGAAAGCCTATTGGTCCATATTTCTTGATGCTTCTATATTGGAGCGGAGTCTTGAGGTGGGTAGAATATAGTTGTGCAATAATTGGCTGTTGATTGCTGGTGTTGACTTCTTGATGTGTAGTGCCTCGCAAACGTCAAGCCGCCTGCTATCGCTGTATCTATCAATGATTTCTGTGTTGTTTACTAGGATTTCTCTGGTGATGGTTTGGTTATGGGAAGAGATTATATGTTCCTTAATGGAGCCCTGTTGCTTATGCATCGTTAAACGCCTAGAAAGAGATGTTGTTGTCTTGCCTATATACTGGGTTTTTTGGAGCTTACAGTCCCCAAGTGGGCATTTGAAGGCATAGACGACGTTAGTCTCTTTTAAAGCGTTCTGTTTTGTGTCTGGAGAGTTTCTCATGAGTAGGCTGGCCGTTTTTCTGGTTTTATAGTAAATCGTCAGTTGTATCCTCTGATTTTTGTCTGTAGGGATAACGTTTCTATTAACAATATCTTTCAGGACCCTTTCCTCCATTTTATGAGCTGTGGAAAAGAAGTTCCTGTAAAATAGTCTAATAGGGGGTATAGGTGTTGTGTTAGTTGTCTCTTCGGAGGTTGCATGGCTTTTCACTTTCCTTCTTATGATATCTTCGATGAAACCATTGGAGAAGCCGTTATTGACTAGGACCTGCCTTACCCTACAGAGTTCTTCGTCGACTTGCTTCCATTCTGAGCTGTGGCTGAGAGCACGGTCGACGTATGCGTTAACAACACTCCTCTTGTACCTGTCAGGGCAGTCACTGTTGGCATTTAGGCACATTCCTATGTTTGTTTCCTTTGTGTAGACTGCAGTGTGGAAACCGCCGCCCTTTTCCATGACTGTTACATCTAGAAAAGGCCCGGATGGGCACATGTATAAGCAAGTAAATGGGGTCGCCATGGGTTCTCCCCTAGGTGTCCTGTTTGCAAACTTCTACATGGGTACCATCGAGCAAAAAGTCTTAGTCGACATGAACTTGAAACCGGCCATATACTGCAGGTATGTTGACGACATTTTTACACAGGTACCTGATGTCAGACATCTGCAGGAGCTGAAGGAGGCATTTGAGCAGAGTTCCGTGCTGCGTTTCACTTACGAGACGGAAAAGGATGGGAAGCTGCCTTTTCTAGATGTAACAGTCATGGAAAAGGGCGGAGGTTTCCACACTGCAGTCTACACAAAGGAAACAAACATAGGAATGTGCCTAAATGCCAACAGCGACTGCCCTGACAGGTACAAGAGGAGTGTTGTTAACGCATACGTCGACCGTGCTCTCAGCCACAGCTCAGAATGGAAGCAAGTCGACGAAGAACTCTGTAGGGTAAGGCAGGTCCTAGTCAATAACGGCTTCTCCAATGGTTTCATCGAAGACATCATAAGAAGGAAAGTGAAAAGCCATGCAACCTCCGAAGAGACAACTAACACAACACCTATACCCCCTATTAGACTATTTTACAGGAACTTCTTTTCCACAGCTCATAAAACGGAGGAAAGGGTCCTGAAAGATATTGTTAATAGAAACGTTATCCCTACAGACAAAAATCAGAGGATACAACTGACGATTTACTATAAAACCAGAAAAACGGCCAGCCTACTCATGAGAAACTCTCCAGACACAAAACAGAACGCTTTAAAAGAGACTAACGTCGTCTATGCCTTCAAATGCCCACTTGGGGACTGTAAGCTCCAAAAAACCCAGTATATAGGCAAGACAACAACATCTCTTTCTAGGCGTTTAACGATGCATAAGCAACAGGGCTCCATTAAGGAACATATAATCTCTTCCCATAACCAAACCATCGCCAGAGAAATCCTAGTAAACAACACAGAAATCATCGATAGATACAGCGATAGCAGGCGGCTTGACGTTTGCGAGGCACTACACATCAAGAAGTCAACACCAGCAATCAACAGCCAATTATTGCACAACTATATTCTACCCACCTCAAGACTCCGCTCCAATATAGAAGCATCAAGAAATATGGACCAATAGGCTTTCTACAAACACTTCTATTCAATACCCATTGTTTCTGTTCTGTCTTGTGTTGATACTTTTAATACCCTATTAATATCCCCTAGTGTTCTGTCTTGTGTTAATGCCACATCACCCTTCCCACCTCACTCAAATGTAGATATAAAATCAGGGAAACGCAAGTTCTAATCAGTTGTGTATTTGTGAAGTCTTTGAAAATGTAATAAGTTTTACGAAACGCGCCCGTGTCGCGTCAGACTAGAAATAAAAATGAATTTTGGAGAAGTGATTTTTTATTTACCTCCAACAGTGAAGCGTAATGTAAGAAAGATTGAGAAAATTCGTGTTAGAATTATTAATCTTACTTTTTCGGTCATATTTATATATATATATATATATATATATATATATATATATATATATATATATATATATATATATATATATATATATATATATATATATATATATATATATATATATAACTTTAGAACACTTTCCCACCAGGAGACTCGAACCCTAGCCAGCACAGAAGCCTTCCAGCAACTGGCATAACAGGTACGCCTTAACCCTCTCCACCACCTGCTCAGACCCTTAAAAGAGATGGTAATTTCGGAGTATTTAAATACCACAAAGATCACCACCTCCCAAGAGCACTAGAGCAAGTGAG